AAAATATTACAGCCAAAAATTGGAAAAACGGACAGCTTTATAAAGGACTCAGCTCATTTTGTTCAGAGGTTGCACTGGTTGTCGTTATCGCCCGGGAAAATCCTTGTGAGTTTTGATGTGGTTTCATTGTTCACAATGCTACCAATCAGGGAGGCAATGGAACTTGTTGCGAGAGAATTTCCACAAGACATCGCCAAACTCTTCGAACACTGTCTAACCACAACCTACTTTTTCAAGCTTTTTCAAGCTTTCACAACCTAAATTTTTCGATAGTTAATTGGAGACGTTTAACTACGTCTAAAATTTTTCGATAATTATTCCGAGACTTTTAACCACTTTTAAAATTATTTTTCGATAATTAATCGAACACGTTTAACTACTTCTAAAACTTTTCGATAGTTAAATCAAGATTTTTAACTACTTCATAAATTTTTCGATAGTCAAATCGAGACTGAACTTCTACAATTGATCGATAGTGAATTCGAGATTTTTAACTACTTCTAAAATTTTTCGAAAATTAATCCGACACTTTTAACTACTTCTAAAATTTTTCGATAGTTAATTCGAGATTTTTAACTATTTCTAAAATTTTTCGAAAGTTCATCCGAGACTTTTAACCACTTCTAAAATTTTTCGAAAGTTTATTCGAGACTTTTAACCAATTCTAAAATTATTCGATAGTTAATTCGAGATTTTAAACTACTTCTAAAATTTTTCGATAATTAATCCGATAGTTTTAACTACTTCTAAAATTTTTCGCTAGTTAAATCGATACTTTTAACTACTTCTAAAATGTTTCGATAATAAAATCGAGACTTACTTCTAAATTTGTTCTTTAGTTAAATCGAGATAACTTCTTCTAAAATTGTTCGATAGTTAATTCGAGATTCGAGTAAGTCCTTACAAAGCAGATTTAGTAAATGCGAAGAGCAACCATAAGTTATAACTTCAGAGTTCATGCGTTCTTCTAACGTTTTCCTCATTGCGGACATATTAGCAGCATTGTCCGTTACAAAAGATCGCGCTTGACACTGAAATTTTGCTTGACACGAGGAAATTAAACGCACACCAGATCAGTAAGGTATGTCGAAGTATGAGGCTTTTCAGAAGTATCAATGGTTTCATGGAGAAGTGCTCGTCCATCTTCCGTTGTTAATGTTGCGCATATATCCGGCTCGTTGTGAATGTTTGACCATCCGTCAATCGACATGTTAACACTTTTCCCCGAAAGAGATGAAAAACATGCCTCTTTTTTTTCAGTATAAATCTCATCCAAAAGGCTCGATGCGACCGTTTTTTGAGAAAGAGGACTGTATCAAGGTCTCAATAGATGAATAGCTTTCTTGACTTCCGAATTCTCGATACATCTAAAACTTGAGTTTGTGGCAAATATGGTCTTAGCTATTTGTTTGTCAATAAGATGTTTTTCCCCTGCTAAAGTTTCTCTTGGAAGCCGACTCGGTAGTTGTTTGCGTGTAAGATGATGCAGATTCTGGAGGTGAGTTGGAGCTTGTCGAGGAAAATGTAAAGGAGGAAGAAGCACTCCCAGTCTCAAAAAAGTTGGGCGCAAGATCGATGTTTGCATTTGTTTTTGTGCCTTGTCTGTTTTGTTGCCTCTTACAAACGTCATGGTGTGCCTTCAGTCTTTGTATTATGCCTTGAATCTCTATCTTACACTGTTTGCAAGTTGCTCTGCATCCTGACTTATTAGAAGAGGTGGTTTTGATGTAAAACTGCCAAATACTATCTTCTTTGCTTCCAGCCATTGTGTTCTTTTCAAACTGACTTATTATTATTACACAAACACAAAAAATCTACACACTTTTCAACATTAGCCTCTTGAAATTTTGTGACGAAATGAGTAAGACCGACACATTTGAACAACTTTTATTTTCAACTAAGAATTACATTCCTTGTGTGAAAACGGGTCGCGGGCCGTTGCGACAAAAATTTTCCGTCGAAAATGCGCTCGGACAAGTATTAAATCGGTTCAACTTAGCTTGAATTTTCTGTGCAACAATTGCAATAACTTTAAAACAGCTAATTAAGCGGATTTATCAATTGATTTAATAAAAATCAAAAAAATCGTGATTTTTTTGATTAATTTAAATAAATCAGTGATTTTTTATTTTTCTAATAAAAATCAATTTTTGCCCAACAAATTCTTCGATAGTTAGTTCTATCTTATCTTCTCAAATTGTTCGATAGTTAGTTCGAGATTTTACTTCTAAAATTTTTCGAGTTAATTCGAGATTTTTAACTATTTCTAAAATTTTTCGATAGTCAAATCGAGACTTTCAACTATATGTAAAATTTTTCGATAGTCAAATCGAGAGTTTTACTTCTAAAATTTTTCGTTAGGTAATTCGAGATTTTTAACCACTTCTAAAATTTTTCGAAAGTTAATTCGAGACCTTTAACTACTTATTAAATTTTTAGATTGTTAATTCGATGCTTTTAGCAACTTCTAAAATTTTTCGACTGCTAATTCGAGATTTTTAACTACTTCTAAAATTTTTCGAAAGTTAATACGATACTTTTAACTACTTCTAAAATTTTTATATTGTTAATTCGAGACTTTTACTTCTAAAATTTTTCGTTAGTTAATTCGAGATTTTTAACAACTTGTCAAATTTTTTAATTATTAATCCGATACTTTTAACTACTTCAAAACTTTTTCCTTAGTTAATTCGAGATTTTACTTCTAAAATTTTTTGATAGTTAAATCTAGACTTTTAACTAATTTTTTCGATGGTTTATTAGATATTTTTAACTACTTCTAAAATTTTTCGAAAGTTAAATCGAGGTTTCAAATTACCCCTAAAATTGTTCGATAGTCAAATCGAGACTTTCATCGACAGTTAAAAATCATTATAGAACATTAATATCGAGAAGGCCTAAAATTGTGCGAATAGTTCCAATAGGCAATAAAAAGTACGGCATTCAATGTAAAAAAAGGTAAGTTTGGTCTGCCACTTGAATTTGAGACATCC